AAAGGGTTTCTTTCATCTTATACTTTGTAGTCAGTCCACCATCCTGGGGAGTCAAGGTATTGACTCAAGGCAGGAACCTGGAAGCAGGAACTGATTCAGAGGCCATGTAAGAAAGGTGCTAACTGGCTTGTTCATCATGACTTGCTTAGCCTGCTTTCTTATAGAATCCAGGACCACCAGCCCAGGACACAGCCCACAATGGGCTGGGCCATCCCACAAGACTAATTAAGAAAATGCCCTACAGACTTGCTTACAGGCCAATGTTATAGAGTCATTTTCTCAATTAATAGCCCTCTTCCAAGGTTTAAGTCTAGGTTTAAGTCAAGTAGACAAAAAGACCAACCAGCAGAAGAACTCTTAAAAATGCATCATGGCCCTGGCCCTGGGGGTTACAGTCCTATAAGCTTCAGCACTTGGGAGGGAAGCTGACAAAGGAGAATCACAAACACAAGGTTTGCCTGGGTGTCTTGGTAATACTCAATTCTCGGTCTCAGAAAAAAAAAAAACAGTTTTTTGTTAAGTTTTGTTTTGTTTTAAAAAGGCTGGGATGTGACTCAGCAGCATATCCTGTATAAAGGACCTGGGTTCAATCCCCAGTACTGAAAAAACTTGTGTATTGTCTTACTATCTTCCAAACTGGAAGAAGTATTTGATATCGTTTATTGTACATGTTTCCAAAGCTGACTTATTAAATTTCATAACATGCATTGTCCAGACTCCTAAGCTTAACTTATCTTCACATTCTCTCTCTCTCTCTCTCTCTCTCTCTCTCTCTCTCTCTCTCCAAAGATACGCAGTGACTATTTTTATCTTCAAGATTAAAGTAGTCCTAAATAGTTTTCTCACACCACCACCCGGGGTGCCTTCCAGAAAGAGTCTCCTATGTGCCAGTGAGAAAAATAACAAAGTCACTCGTAACATTTATGTACCTACCTAGCACCCATCTAACATCTGCTTTAGCAAAATAGAATCACAGTGCATTCTGAGTTGCACACAAGGCTTCTTAATCCCTCTAAATAGAGAAGGGAAGCTGCTGAAGTCTCCTTTCCCTACTAGTTAAGATCCCCTTCATGAAAAGGGTCTGCAAAACTGTCTCAGACTAATGTATTAGTCTCCAAGGGACATGTCTTAGCCTGTGACTCCATGTCTCTCACGGGGCATACAAGACTTCCCTCCTTAACTAATATTACCCTGCATTACCATCAGAGTAGGGGAGAAGTTTGCAAGGGGAGACTCTGAGACATACTGGCATTCTGACAGTGAGCAGCTCTAATTTTAAGGCCTTGGTCTTTAGACTCCTGACAGTGAGTGAACGCATACCTAACCTGGAAGCTGGTGGGACCACAATCATTTCCTGGCTAGCCTTTTAAAACCCCTTGCACAAGAAAAATGCAGCAAAGGGTACCCATCAAAGGCCAAGGGTCCTTTGCCAAGGGTTTGCAGATATCTCTCGTAGTTTTCCATAAGTCCACGAATGAATGGTTACTATGATAGTGTGTATATTTAAAGTTACAGAAAATGCATTCTGAAGCCATGTATCAAGAAACTAATGTAAAGGTGGAATTTTACTCTTCCCTGCTTACCCCACCATAGACAATTAGGGAAAACTACTGGCAGATACAGTGTTGCAGATATGAGACCCTTACCTGGTGATGACTTCCAGGGAGGTTTGCAGCAGTTTACCCAGATAAAGGGCCAGCCATTTTCTACCAGTCTATCCTATGTTAATTCTGGAAGAGAAAAATATTAAAAAGATTCACAAAGATGGTCAGATTTTAATTTTTAATTAAATAATTGTTAATACTGCATATTAAGACTGTTTGAGGAGAAAATGAAGACACCCTTTTCACACTGAGAACATATTTTCCCTAAAATGAAGTTAGGCTGCCTGACGATGGTTAATACCCTTCCCAGTATCTCACAGACACCCAGGAAAGGGAACAGACTTGGTGAAACTACTCTGAAAAACTTCTGTTAGATGCAAACTATGACAACAGATTGGGTTTTTAATTATGAATCTGCAATTAAACTTCAAAAAATAATCTCTTTTTATTATGAGGTTTATGCAAGTATTATTATACTATATTGTGAAAATCCCATTATAAAAAACTTTTTTTCTGTTTGTCTTTTTCATATAAGACCTGCATGTCATAAAATGTTGCTATGTAATAATGTAAATGTCTTACTCTAATTTTATCTGGGAGTTTACCTCCCAGAGATACTTTTCTTCTTTATCCCTCTAGAACTCAAAGTATATATACATGCACACAGTTGTGTATATTTATGCTCTCTCTCTTTTTTAAAATTTTCTCAAGAGATTTTTTTTTATTAGTTCAAATTAGAAACAAGCCTGCTTCACATGTCAATCCCTTCTCCCTCTCCCTCCCTTCCCCCCAGCTTCCCACCTCATCCCCCCTCTGCTCCCCAGGGAAGGTAAGGCCCTCCATGGGGGTTCCCCAAAGTCTATCATAACATCCTGGGCAGGGTCTAGGCCCTCCCCCATGTGTCCAGGCTAAGAGAGCATCCCTCCATGTGGGATGGGCTCCCAAAGTCCCTTCTTACGCCAGGGATAAATACTGATCCACTACCAGGGGCCCCATAGAGTGCCGAGGCCTCCTCATTGACATCCACATTCAGGGGTCTGGATCAGTCCTGTGCTGGCCTCCCAGACAGCAGTCTGGGATCCCTGTGCTCCCCCTTGCTCAGGTCAGCTGTTTCTGTGGGCTTCACCAGCCTGGTCCTGACCTCTCTGCTCTTCACTCCTCCCTCTCTGCAACTGGGTTCCAGAGTTCAGTTCAGTGTTTAGCTGTGGGTGTCTGCCTCTGCTTCCATCAGCCACTGAATGAGGGCTCTCAGCAGAGGTCAGGGGCCGAGGAGGAACCAAGAGTGAGGTGTTTTCGGACTCAGGGAGGTCCTCCCTGTCTGGGAGGGTCCACTCTATGTCAGGCGCAGGCCCAGAGGGATCAAGGAAGGGGTGATGTCAGGAGTGGGGGCAGGGAGGAGCAGAGGGGACACTCACCTCAGCAGAGGTCAGGGCCGAGGGGGAAGGAAGAGTCCATTCATGCTCCCTTAACTAAGATTTTACTTCTCTGCTCATTGCTGTCTGCTCATTTTATTTAGCCTTATAGCTACACAGAACATCCTTTGTTAACACACATGAAGCAGTGTTATTCACTGATAATTTACTTAACCAGCCTGTTCTTATGGCCTGAAATCTCTTTTTTCCCTTTTGGCTGCTACAAAACGTTTCAATGCTCATATTCATACATAGAGATGTTTATACTTACTCAACATTATTGATATCGATATCGATAACATAAGTCCAAAATAGAAGTATTCAACTAATCTGTTTGTATGTTTGTTAGCATTTTGATGGCTATTTATAAAATACCATTTATAAAGTTTGTAATAAAAGTCTGAAGCCAAACTGTTAGGTTTTTGTAAAAATACTTTTTTATGTGTTGTTTGGCTTAGCATTTCAGTACCTGTGGATGAAACTGAATTTCTCAACTTCTAATGCTTTACAGAAGTTTTTCTACTCTTATCTTACTTAATCATTACCTTTGCTTATTTTTCAACTGGGCCATTCATTGTTTCTCATATTAAAGGGTGAATGTTAAGTTATAGAAGCTAATATTTTACATGTCCTGTGTGACAAACAGCTTTTGCAGATTTGCAGTTTATCTCTGGGATTTGTTTATCATACTGCTTATTATCTAATCCTTATTTATTTATTTATTTATTTATTTATTTTTAGGTAGCTAAATTCATTAATTGTATTATGGATTTGGAAGACTTTACAAAGATTATTTTAAGCTGCTCGGTTACTTAAAAGTACTGCATACAGTTGACACGGAACGCCCCATCTGAAAATCATTTTGGCTACAACATATCGATTTGGGGAATCATCACCATTATCAAAGACATTTTCATAAGAAGATGTTACTTAAAATACTAAGATGTTGTAAAAGCTGTGGGCTTTCTGTAAGATTGCACTTTAGGAGGAAAATTAAAGAAATCATCAGTAGAACAGTACCATTTCTTCGGAGTGTTAGCAGTGGTGAGCTAAGGCAAGAAGTGCAGAGTGAATTATGGGGAAAATAACAGAAGGTCCAGGGCAAACACGAAGTGGAAATGTTAAACTAGCCGAGATGCACTAAGGAAATTTAGAACACATACACAAAAAGATAGAAAGAATGTATCTTGACCAATAACCCTCTGGAGCTTTTCAGATCTGTTGCATTTTTATTGATCTTTTTGTTGTTGTTATTGTTCTGCTACATTTTCTGGCATTAATAAAAATAAAAGAAATGATTTTACTCACAAGTTGGTGATAACAAAACTCAATTACTTTCATTAGACCATCAAGAACCTAAGTCCAGCCTTAACAGTATTTTGACAGGAATCCACAAAGCCTTGTGCACACAGAATGGTAGTTGTGATTTATGTTTTCTGTTACTTATGAATACATTACCATTAAGTGTTATTAAAAACATGAGACATTATGACTTTATACTTCTCTATCACACTGCTTAAAAGTGTGGCAACCTAATGATGTTGGCAAACCTCTTCTCTTGGCAGGTCAAATTTCAAAAAGTATTTAAGAAGTCAATATGTAGAAAACACTTCAAATTCTCTTCTATTACAGATAATGTGGCAGAAATTAACTGTGGGCAGTGAGTGTCTAAGAACCATCATGGTGTGGTGTGTTTTACTCCTGGTACAACGTGTTCTATCTAAAGTGACATCATCTGAAAGGAAAGCTGGTCATTAACCCAGGCTTAATGGAGCATTCTCATTCAAGGAGAATTACACATAGATTTAGAATCATGAAGAAATGTAATTGAATTGAATACCAAGAAAAATGTGAATCAAAGAGTAGAGAAAATTCTGATGATAAAATTGTAAGCATATAACATTAGCTGCAGGAAATACTATGGGATGTTTTAATCTGTTTGGAAGAAAAAAAAGAAACTAATGCAAATTGTCTACACCCATAGGCTGGGCTTGGTTAAAGCCGGTGAGGGGGGACATTGCTACTGACTCCCTTGCTAGCACTGAGAAACTCTGCCTGCTGCATGATCACACCTTCTATGAACCTCCCACACCCACTGCATGGTATGTCGGTGTCTCTGAGTTGAGTTTCACCCCCATTCCTTCCCATAAATATTCAATTCTGTACTGCTAAAGCTGCCTGGATGCTAAAGTCCTACATCCACGCAGCAAATTGTGACAACTGTCCTGGTGGCAGGACATGATTAGGCTCGGCTCAGTCTTTTAGCCAACTTCAATGATCTTCTGGCAAAACAAAAAGCACTTGGCTGGGTCTGTCTAACAACTGTCAGAAAGCTGCAGACATTGGGAGGAATCCGTCAGGAATTCTTGGAGAGTCACTAGCTTAAAAGAAATGGCCACTTATTTGGAGCCTGACCACTTTATAACTAGAATCTACTATAGCGCTTTTTAAACCATACATTAGGTAAGTAAGAGCCTATACTGAAAGCTGACCATAAGATGTGATTTAAGTTGGCATCTAGATATGAACCACCATGCCCGGTTCATGTGGTCCTGGGAAAGAAATAGACATGCTAGGCAAAGACTCTACCAACCAAGTCACACACCCAGCCCCCAAAAAGTTAATTTTTAAAAGCCTATTACCTTTTTGTTCACCTTTTAAAAGAATCATCTTTGTATGACTGCTCTTTTTCAGACTGTTCTTGAAGTCCTGATTGAATGGGGCCTCCTGCCTCAGTGTCCAGCTACATTCTAGAACGCTTGATTGCGGTACAACTGCTTGCTACCGAGGCTTCTCCCTCCACGAGCACATTAAGTGATGCACTGCCATACTTTTAGTCATTCTTCCAACCGGTAGCTGAAATTTCTACATTTCTTATTAGTGCATTTTAAGTCAAATATTATAAATAAAATACAATTGTTCTTAAAGTTCTTCTTCCTTGAGAGAAATGGGTCTTGATTTCAAATTATAACTTGAAATAAATTCTTAAACCATTAGCTTCCACCAAAAAGAAGGTTGCCTAGTGTAGGACAGACAATGTGGCAAAGAACAGGGCTTTGGGATGTGTTTGCACATTTGAGTCGTACTTTGACTGACAACATGAAGATACATAGAGATTATGTCATGAAGTTTCTGAAGGTAAAATAAATGGCATTTACAGAATGAACACTATACAGCATGTGGTGATATATGATGAAAAACTTTTAGCTTTATTAAAAAATGTTTTAATTGGGGGGAGGGGTTTCTCTGTGTAGCAGTGGCTGTTTTGGGGTGACTGGATGCTTGCTTCTGATCGGAATGTGGAGAGTCTGAACAGGGATGGAGAGCTTGGTTTGCCTGGAAACATTCAAAACCACTGATGTGAGGCCTTCCTTGCATCATCTTTGATTGTTTTTGATCCTTTCTACTCTTTCTATGCTAATACTTTAGATTGAAAACAACATTACTGTCTGTTTCCCAATGCAATCCACATTAAGCCCTTTTATTGTGGGTGATAGGGTGAAACACTTGATGCATTGGGAAGGTAGTTCCACTGTCTCGCTTTCCCTCAAAACCAAGGAATTTGCACAGTGCTTAATACGAGACTATGAGAGTGCACGAATGTGATCCATAGTATCAAGGGAGTCCTGGTGAGGAAGGAAGGAGCTGCCATTCATTACCGGAGAAGTGCAGGAACTGTACAGTGCAGGCACACCGGACACCCATCTCATCCGAACACGGGGACAGGAAGAGTAGTTTTTAAATGTCTTCTGTTTCTCAACAAACCCTTAGCCTGACCAACAACTCTGCAGGGCAAAGACCATTTCTGCACTTTGATGTGTCCTCACAGGCCAAATGTCACTCTGCTCCATACAATTGCCTATGCAAGAACTTGCTACTGCTGATAACAGATTTCACAGACAATTCTTCATTTTCCAAAGCAGTGTATGATCTTCAATTCATATAAAATGAACAAATATCTACACAACTCAGAGAGTTAATTAGCAAGCATAGCATCTCTTTCTAAGCAAGTACACTGTCACATGTATGTTTCCAATACTCTTGCTCTGTAGTTAATCACGACAAAACATTAACGTCATTGGCCTAAACTAAGATTTTACCACTTGGTGAAGATCAAGGTGTCTTCTATGTGTATAAAATAAGTTAAGAAATAAGTGGATCTAAATCAAAGGATGGTTAGTCATCTGATTAAAAGAATTTGGAACACATCCAGAACTAGGAAAGACAGGCTGTCACTAGAAGCAGTGCGGACTCATTGCCCACCTGTTTCCCAAACTTTTATGCTATAAATGTAAGTGAACGTGAAACTCTTGAAAACACTCTTGGGTATGGGAGTTAGAACCGTAGCTAGCAGAATCTAGAAACTTGTATCTACATAAGACCCTTAGAGAAAGCACCAAAACAAAAATTAAAATAAGCGATTCTAAAATGACCTATAAGAAAGCAGTAGAACAAAGTAAGCAATTAGTCACACAGCATTCAAGCCATAGAGCAAACTCCATTATAAAAGAAATTTGAAACATGATTTTATTTTTCAGATGCAAAGGAACTTTTCTGAATATCTGCTATGAAAAGAACTAAAAGCCAGTTAATATTGCCTGGTAATACAGCTGTACACAACAGTAATATCAATTTGTCATTTTTATGAATGCTATAAATATATATTTTGTTTTGTATTCCCATCTGATGTTAAAGTAATAACTCTAACAAAACTTTGGCAAATTTATACCTCTTTCAATTTTTTTTCTGGGAGGTAAATAAATTTTAGAGCTTTTAATAAGTTAATAGTAGTGACTTGCCAAATCATTTGAGTATTACCTTCTGCCACTTAGGTAATACAGGTTAAACATAACTGTAGCCATCAAGCCATTAAAAAGTTGACTTTTAGAACCCAAAATTCAGGGAAAGGACCAGGCACAGTAATAAATAAAAGGCTAAGGGACAGGAGTCTGTGCTGGGCAACAAAAACATGCAAATGGGAATCCCTTCTCTGTCCCTATAACAGATCTGAAAGCAAAACAGAGCACTCTCAGCTAGGCTGTTGTTCAAACTGCTTCGAAGTCCTTCGCAGCTAAGGACTTCATGGGGTTTGGAGTAAGTATAAGATTAAGCTTTTCTTTCCTTGGCACAAGCAAAATTAGTTGTCACTGTTAATTAGTAACACAGTATCCACAGTCATAAGTAGCAGCAGCCAAAGGCAGCAAAAATAAGCTCCAAAGTATCAGGGACAATTCTTCCTCCATACTAGACAGAAGACAAAGCTGAAAGATCTGTAGATGTGTCCTAGCACTGACCCAACTAAGACAGCGGACAGACTGAAGCTCGGTATGACTGACTGCCGCAGATACTGATGGACAGACATTTTGTAAGCCTCGGGATGACAGGTCTTCCACTGGGAGGAAACCTACTCTCTTCTGAGGTGATGGACACTGAGGTCGATTCAACTAACACCAAAGAGGAGCAGAACTAGAAACCAAGGCCTTGTGGAGGAGAAAATAAACCAACATCAACAACAAAAACATGAACAAACCAAATAAATAAATAAATAAATAAATAAATAAATAAATAAAACCCAAGAGGAAGAGAAGAAGTAAATATTAAGACCTTGCAACTTAAGGGCACTGCCTAAACCTCAATGTTTATGTATTATATATTATAGGGATTGTCACCTATGATTTTTGGGATGGAGCGTGGAACTATTAGGAAACTTAATGTTTGTCCAGAGAAGACAAAAGGAAAGTTAGACAGTTTGGAAGACTCTAAGCATCGGCTAACAAGGTAACCATCATAGACTTTTATTTTGTTAGCAATCACTAAGAAGCAGAAAGGTAGTTTTTAATAACTGAAGGAGACATTCTGGGCAGTGACCTGAGACTCAGAGTTGTTAAACAAACAAAGACTCTTAATATCGTGCAGCTAATTTGGTGGGAGGGTTCTTGGGCATTGACAGGAAAATGGTTCCTATGGAGAAGTGATTGTCCAAATGGGGCCCTTCCACGGCAAACACCACGGGTTGTGTTTGTTTGTTTGTTTGTGGTTAAACCAAGGAGATAAAAACACTAAATAAGCCTCTTGGGTTCCTTGGGATTTTTTTTTTTCTAATAGAAAATTTTAAGGAAGGTTAAGTCTTTTTGCTAAGGGCAATAAATACAGGAGCCCCAGGACCCGGTGGTTGTGACTATCAAAAAAAAAAAAAATCATTTTGGGAATGAAGTACCTTGAAGGGGACAATTACTGGTTGAAGAGAACAGAAGGGGTAAGACTGCTTGATTCCCTCTCTGTTGCTCTCTCTTCCCGGAACGACACAGGAAATTAATGTTGCCAACTTCTAAATGTGACCCCAGAGCACACAAAGTGCCCAAACTTTCCTGTGAAAAAGTCTCCTGGGAGTCGGAGGTGGGTTTTTATGCTTAATGAGGACATTAGCAAACAAGGGCACAGGTAGCCAGTTTCTCTATGCTTGACCAAAGACAAGGGGACAGGACAAGCCTTGGGGAGGATCAGCTTGAGTTTTCTGGAGACTACCTCAGTTTGGGGTTGCGGAGACACTGGGCTAACTAAAGGAACGGGAAATGGGTCAGAGGAGTGGAGAGCCCTGCTCTGGGTTCAGTACTGAAAAGAGACGACTTAAACACTGCAGGGACTGCAGGCCATGTCCGCCTGCTAAGGTGCCCCAACCTGCTTCTCCCCGCCCCAGTCTGGGTAATCAAAGGGCCGCTGGGAACACCTGTGGTGATGGAGTTTGGCCCACCTACCGACCGAGTTTGATGACAATGACCCACACTGGTAGGGTTTGCTGGGAAAGGGGAAAGCAGAGGACAATGTGGGGTCATTGGTAAACAAAGAGGGGACATTCTTAAACTCAAAGTAGCACAACTTCAAATGGCTGGCCTCGCGGTGACTCAGGCCACGGTTAAAGTCAGGACACAGTTAAAATACAACGGTATTTAAAAGCGCGGAGGAAAGTTGGTTTGCTTGCCTCCCGTTTCTGTAGATTCCTAGCCTGTAACTCCAAAGAGTTTGGTCAAAACATTATGACTCTTTTGGAGCACTCTGCAAATTAGCGTACTTTCCTCCCACCTGGTCTGGAGAAGGGCGGCCAGCTCCAGTCTGCCGGCTGGCCGGGAATGTGCTCACTCTCCTAGGTCCCCCGGGTCCTCCTCGCCCAGTACTCCCGGTTCAGATGCGGAGGCAAGGAACGGATCCCTCCCGCCCCTGATCACCACGCTGGCAGGACGCCTCGGTTAGGACTCACCGCACCCGGGAGAGCGCCAGAGCTGGGACAGCCGCTGCGCTGGTACTGGCCTCGGCCACCCGAGCCACCCGTGGAGGAGGACTCACGCCCCGTGTCCTCTCCAACCACACAGCATCACCCAGTCCCTTGCAGCTGCCTGGCGATCAGCAGGGAAGCGCCTCCTCATTTATAGCCTAGGGGGCGTCGCTGCTCCACAGGTTCCAACCCCTCGGCTCTGCTTTGCACTCCTCCCGGCCCCGCCCCAGACCCTCGGTCCAACCCTCTCCTTCTCCAGATTCTGACTGCATGCATCTTCTCTGCAGCCAGCCACCCTACCCTCTGTCACTTCCCAGATCCATGCTCATCTGGTCCTGAACCCCCTATCACAGCCTGAGTGTTGAAGATGGAGGGAGGTTGGTGTCAGGCTACATAAAGGGAGTCCAAGATAAATACTCCACTTAGAAAGGAGTGGGGAAGCTTGGAAAACTTTTAAGGATGAATTAGGGAACTCCCTTGTCTTTCCCTGTGGCTAACTCAAAATTTTTTGTGGCTCACAGATGGTAGGGATTAATTTCAGAGTTGTAAAATGAAAGAGCTGATCACCAGTTCCTCCTAGCTTACACGCAGCTCAAGCTGCACTTATTTAAAAATAAAAACAGACTGCCAAAAAACAAATAACACTCAAATATTTGAGAACAAAAATGAACTCAAAGCCGGGCGTTGGTGGCGCACGCCTTTAATTCCAGCACTCGGGAGGCAGAGGCAAGCGGATCTCTGTGAGTTCGAGGCCAGCCTGGTCTCCAGAGCAACTGCCAGGATAGGCTCCAAAACTACACAGAGAAACTCTTGTCTCGAAAAACCAAAAAAAAAAAAAAAAAAAAAAAGAACTCAACTCAATTATTTTCAAAAGCAAAAATACT